ATGGGGACAGATATAGATAAATAGAATTATAGTGTACATGTATTGACGAAGTAATTCATCAGGTCTCTCCGACTCCGAGACAATAGGTGTGTGTGTGTGTGTGTGTGTGTGTGTGTGTGTGTGTGTGTGTGTGTGTGTGTGGTTTGGTGAACCGTAGACGGACGGTAAGAGAGAGAGAGAGATGAATGAATTGTATGTTTGTGGGAGAGAGGGAGGGGACGTAATTCATGAATAATTCAACATCTTTGTGGTTACATTATTATGTCCCTTACTTTTTTCCCTCAAAATATGGGAACGGGCACTTGGGGAGTTGTCAAGGTTATCTGTCTACTTGGCTCGGTCCTATCGGAGAAGGACATTATTTCAGAAGTCTGTCTCATAAAGAATCTTACAGTGTTAAAAATAGCAGAAAACTTGTACAATTTAAAAATTGGTTTTTCATCATTGCTCGCAGAAGACGTGCGTTCAATTCTTATGAAGGGAAGTCTACTTTATCCAGTATCTCCGTCTTTTTTAAATTTGACACTCTCTGATTACAAATCAGCCCGTGTTTGTTCTGACGAGAAGTGTCAAAGCAGTCAGGCTCCTAAATGACCTACACTGTACTCACAGGGGTCTAAAAAAAAATCACTTGTCATCCCTCTCATAGTCTAGCCGCACACTACAAGTTGATACAAGCTACAAGTGCTTAGTTTAGTAGAGGTTTTTCGGCACTCGCAACTGCATAACGTCATACGAGCGACAAGGGGTGGATGTCAACAGAGAAGTTCTTACAGGGAATCACACTTACTCTGCTCATCTCTCTAGCTTCAACAGCACAAAGTCTGCTTCGACTATCAAGGCACCCCGGAAATAGTGGTTCACAAGAGTGTGACAAACATAAAAAAAATGTAGAGGAAAATGACGATATTAAGGATTAGGAAAGAAAAGGCAGACCAGGCACAGTTATGAGCGTGACATTGATAAATCAGCCCATTTACAATTCTACTGTGCACTAGAACAAGAAATGTCCCCCTTTGGGAATGGCCTAAAGACACTTCAGTCAGTGGCACCGTCACAAGTGCAGACAGGTAAATTTTACAGGAGGGACAAAAAACGAGTTGACTTTATGCAAGGATTTTTTGGGTGTTCTACTTCTTGCTGGATGTGTCACTTTTGTGTCAGGGCAAAGCTTAAGCATCAATTTAAATGATGTCACCTTGCGTAAGAGTAAGAAGAGGCATTTCTTCGCTTTTTAAGCGAGTAACACATTTTTTGAGAAATATGGTGCTTCTACTGTCAGTGTCAGACTTTAACAGGAACGTTGTATTATTACTTTCTTTCTTCTTTGAGAGAGAGAGAGAGAGAGAGAGAGAGAGAGAGAGAGAGGGAGGGAGGGAGGGAGGGAGGGAGAGAGAGAGAGAGAGAGAGAGAGAGAGAGAGAGAGAGAGAGAGAGAGAGATATGAATGAATTGTATGTTTGTGTTTTATGGCGCTCGTAACTGCATAAGGTCATGGGAGCGCACGCAGTGCATTAAGCATTTTCAGTTGGGTAGGAGTTAATTTTGAATTTTGCCCAGGTGGTGACTGAAGCCTACTCTTAGTCTTATAGGACTACCTAGGGATCTTTAACCCTGAGACTTTTGTGCCCTTATCCTACCTTAAGATCAGGGGTGTGGCTGAAAGACAGCAGTAAGAAGGAGCCAAGGAGTCGCTGTAGAAAGGCAGCAGAAAGAGCCAGAAGCCCAGAGGAGGGAGCAAAGGGGGGGGGCATAAAGTGAAGACGAAAGCAGAGAACAGAACATAGAGAGCAGGAAAGGTGAAATAAGAATTTTTAAAAACTTTTCTGCCAAGTTTTGAACCCGGGACCTATTGAATGAGAGGTGACCAACGTACCTCAAGACAACGTGAATACCATACCTCTAAAGCATGAAAGCCCATGTAGTACGTTTCCATGACACTACACACGCTGAAGCAGCCCAAGCTAGAGGAAGCCATTTACAGAGGGCCACACAAAACTCAAACACAAAAAACTCAAAAACATGAACTTCTCACACAATGATGACCTCATTTCCAATTTGCTCTCTTTATGTTTTACGCATCTATACAGATCAATCATATCCAAAGGAACAATTCCAAATATCACCAATCTCACACAGACAACATCATACGCTGTGCAATCACCAATCTCACACAGACAACATCATACGCTGTGCAATCACCAATCTCACACAGACAACATCATAGGCTGTGCAATCACCATAAGACTCAAACAACAAGCAACTAGCAGGGTCCATCAGTTTTAATACCGTCCTTAAGCAGAAAATAACAATGACTCATCCCAAGAAACTGGGGTGAACAAAACAGGGTTTTTTTCCCCTTCCTTGCATTATGTACAAGAATGTTGTATCTTCTGTTGCATTTCAAGGGATATTCAAGACACATCATAGGTGGCACACACACAGAGTAGAGTGGATTCAGAGGGGAGGAAATCACTTTGTAACCGACTTTTCAGCACTTCCATATAGTAAATTAGACATATTGAGAAATAAAAGCAAATGATTTCAATGCATTTAAGTGCAAATCTCTTTTAAGTTGAAATAAACGAAATAAGAACACAATCAAAGGCTTCTCACTAGCAACCCCCCCCCCCTTAAAAAAGAGGTAAAGACAATGTGTTTTGTTCCTCTTCCCTTCACAAAAACTTGCTCTATAATTTCTACAAGACGATCAGGGCATTCATATTCTCACCAGAGTTGTGGCAGGTCTACTATACATCAACCATTCATCATTCATGGAAACTGATCATGTCGGCTGTCAGTAAATCAGGATATACCGGTACGGGTAAAAAAATCATATATTCAGCCCTGAACCTCAAGTGGAGTTCAAATACTAGTACTCTTATCCCCTCATAGTCTAAGAAAATAAAAAAGAATAGAAGGTAAGGTTTACGGGGGGGGGGGTTGCTATGGCTCCACTCATCCCATCTCAGTACTGATGTACAAATCAAGATAGAAAGAACAAAGAAAGTAAAATAGTAATGCGAGCCTAGAGTTCCCTTTTTTCTTACGGTCTTACGCTAAATCGATTCTATAGATAGCAGATCCACATTTGCATGACAGAAGAGAACCAAAAATTCTCATATACCGCGGAAATTCCGTGACATGCTAGGGGAAAAAGTAACAGTAGTAATTCACACTTGCTTATACACCTACTCCCCAGCTCAACAAAGCCTACATTCAACATAAGCACAGTTTTCCATTCACACAGATATCCATACTGACATACAATACAACATCACTCATCACTTCACTCAGCGAAAGACAAGCAGAGTCGGGAAAAGACAGCAGACTCTTCAACACTTTGCGGTCACTTGCCGCAATAATGCGCAAGTGAAAATTATTCGTTCCGGTCACCTGATGCAGTTCAGCGCCAGGCCCAGGTCCGAGAAGTACGCTGCAGTCGCTCTCCTAGCTGGGTGACCAGATGGGGTATTTTGTATTGCTGGCTGTGTGACTGCAAAGTGTTAAACTGAAATTAGCCTACACATCATCAGAGGGAGAAACTCTGAGAACGCTGTAGATTATAAATAAATAAATCTCCCAACTGTTGGGATATCAGCAGGGCACCGCAGTTATACCATACTCTGAAATCCAGAGTTCCCAGGCGAAAAACCAAGCACCTATTTGAAGCAGTTAAGTTTGAGTTTGAGCAAAGAGAAGCTCATCAATACGCACTAACCATCCAGCGCTGTGAGAAAGCGAGACAGACAGATAGAAACTACGGAGAGAGAGAGAGAGAGGAGGGTAAGACTAGTAAAAGGATCAACCACTTATCACAATGGTTTACTCCTTAGTAAAAAGAGGGCCGAAAAAGATTTCCCCCCCAAAATTTGCAGTGCAATCAATGATCGTGCAACTGGTCAAATGAGGACACATTGCTGAAAATAAACTTGCAGAACTGTTTCATAAACATAGAATTTGCATGCAAAATGGAACATTGCGGTGTGAACACCCAGCCAGAGAAATTAACAAAAGGACCCGAGTTTTCGCTTTCACTTTCAGTCTACTGAAAAATAAATCTCACTTTACAACAGAACATGACCATATTCTTACGAAAAACATAGGCTTTTATCATAGATAAAAAAACTCAATCACTTTTGGTAACAAGTCATTAAATTTTAGATAGCACAATCGGGTAAGGACAAACAAGTGGTTCAGCTTGAAAAGAATATAAAGCCATCAAGGTCATATCGCACTCTAGAATTGTAGACAGTGCAAGAAAAACACAAACATGGTTTTACTCTCAGAAAGGGACATAAACTGACAGAAACGACAAATGTTCCATTAACCAACCAACTTGCTCATGGTCAGTGCTGCAAACACTCAGTCTTTACGAGTCCCTGGAGGGAGGTCCAAGGTCACGTTTGAGCTCGTTCAAATGTACGTCAGAAATGAGTAAACCATGGAAGACGAATGATGCCTTTTCTATTATTCTGGGTCACATAAAAAACAATCTCTGTGCCTAAATTATTCTGTACTTCAATACTTTTCACCTAAGGGAGCGGTAAAATGAAAAATTCTTACAATACTGGAAAGATGGGCCTGAAATCCTTATTTGATCATTCTGTGTATGGGCCTGAAATCCTTATTTAATCATTCTGTGTATGAACCAGAATATCTTGCCAAGCGGTAATATGATGCCCCCCCCCCCCCCCCCCAAAAAAAAAAAGAGCTCGGGGAAAAAGAATAAGTAATCAGTGACCAGAATGCTCAGAGCTTTCACTTTCATCAACACAAACAAACAAACAAAAAAGCGTCTCATTCAAGCAATCACAACTTTCAGTTTCAGTCGGTCAACACCCCAATCACAATAATGTCGCATCTCCGTAGTCATTCTTCTTTCCCAGTCTGGATCAGAAGGGAAGTAACATTCATTCAGAACGGTCGACAGTCGCCTCTCATTTTTTCACCACTTGTATAACGTCCTCGTCCGCCATGATGTGTGATAATCCGACTCTCTGGGGGTTGTACTTCGTGCTCTGACCCTGAAAAAGAAGGCCAGAATATCGGTACAGGAAAATCCCACTTGAAACCTCCCACTTGCCACTGGTAGTATGTGTCATGAGTGCACATCAATAGCTTGGACCTAATTGGCCAACTACGCTGTAACGCATCTAGGTGGTAATGAGGCCCTCTGGTCAATAAATAAACTACTTCCGTTACTACTCATTCTCACAGAGGTCTTGTGTTTGTTTGTGAGCACGTTTCATAATTATTTGTCAAACTATAAACATAGCCAGAACATAACAGTATGAACCAGTAACAGTTCTAGAAAATTAAATGAGTATTAGATTAGATACTGGACAATGTTATTATTTAAAGTAGGCCTACATCCATTTATTCATAAGCTAAACTGTTTCAGGCATGCTTTTGATCTTTTATCAATTTTGGAAATTTCAACAACAGCGGAGATAGTAATCAATTCTCTGCTATTGAAGAAGATAAAGATAGCAGTTCAATCTAACAAAAATATGCAAACAACAAAATTTCCTGTTGAGAACATTTTGTACTTCCTATGTGCACAGATAGCTTAATTGAATTAAAAAGAAATGCATATAGTGTTTTTCAAAAGTACACTAATAAAAAATCTGCCAGTCATAAAAACCTTCTTGACATTAACTGTACACAAAGTCTATAACTTCATTTTTAGGATATCCTTTGACATTGTAAATATACATCTTTAAAATTTGGTTGTTGGAAATTGATTAGCACAAACTCTGCCAAACATATTACTTAAGTCCATTGCAATAACTTCAACAAATTTTAAAAACTTAATAAGCTACCTTTAATTTATTCCTATTATGTTCAGCAACCCAAGACATTAGCTAGCAAGATGTAAATAAACATCAGTGAATATAGAAATTCACTTACCCAAACGAGAGCGTATTTGAAACTCTGAGCTATCGTTCTGTGGATCACATGGCACTGTGGAAAACAGAAAATATTGTTATTGTGTGAGTAAAAAGAAGTTCATTGGGACAAAAACGGTTAATTAGTGCAAGGAAATAGTAAAACAGACAGAAGTAAGAGGGGGAGAGAGAATGGGTATGACTGGGTATGACCTATCAATGGGGTCCCTTCACGTTATATTTAAATGAAAGTAATATACAATTTAAACTCTATGTAAATCTATATACATGTTTTTACGATACCTGTACAGCGAAGGAAAATTTCTCACTGAGCCAATAAAGTATCATCATATCTTACCTCATCAAAACAATTGACATTGCAGCACCTAATCTGTGGCTTCATTTGACACAAAAGGTCCCACATCTTTAATGCCCCTAACATGCTAAAAGAGGCGCTGAACTCATGCCATTCCTGACCCCTTTGTGGTGAGGTGTACACTCAATGTGTAGATGGGTAAAGGTGGCGTGAGTTGAGGTGTGTGCTTGGGCCCCGAGGAAGACGAAAGGGAGACGAGCGGATAAAAGCTCTCGAGGTACAGTGCAGCCTCTCTGTAACGACCTTTGATATAACGACATTCTCTGTATCAGCGACATGGTACCCACGTCCCAATTTTTTCCTTATATTATATCATTAGTAATTTTTGGTTGCTCTCTACAACAATCTTTTTTCTCTGGCCCCGACGATGTCAATATAGAGAGGCTGCACTGTATTCCAATTGTGCCTGTAGCATAAACTACATCTTACCACATGCTCAACTGAAGCTCCCTGTCGCAGTATCAATCCGTCTTCAAAGTCGGGACGCTCTGTCAAATACACAGGGAAATTTTTTTTGTAAGAGCAACATTAAATACGGTTCACTAAAATCATATTCATCTTACAGTTCCAGACAGCCTATTTTCTTAAAGTAATGTAAAACTTACTACAACTATGTGCTATCTTTTCTGAAGGCTGTTACTCTTCAAAATGAACCACTTGCATAATTTTTGTTTGTTCATATTCAACTACATGTATATTAAAAGAGTTTTAAAAAGTGATCTACGGATTAAAATTGATAACTTCGATACACAAATTGAATCACATTATGGTTTTTATAATTACCTGTTACGGAATACAAACTCATTAACAATTTTCGGGACATTTTGAATTACTTCCAAATCGAAATTTCAATTTTTACTGCAAGTCAAAATAACTAATTTGAACCATTCTAATTGAATCTCATACAAGCGTTTACTCTCACTGTTAAAACAGAAGACACAAGACTAAGCCACAGTTTCCTCACCTCCTCGTTTCTTCGTGTAAACCCTCAACAACGCCAGATGCTCCCACACTTTATCCAGCAGATAATCCAAGTTCATTTTCATGTTGCAGCTGAAAACAGATCAACAAAAAGAGGGCTCATCAAATGAAAAAACAAAAACAAAACAAAAACAAACCTCTCTTAACTTTTTTTCCCTTGCTTTTCATATGGTCATGGCAGAAATGATCTTTAAAACTGCAGCAGACTAATGAACAACAACCCCCCCCCCCCCCCCACTCAAACATGTCTTTTTCAGATGAAAAGACCCCCCCCCAAAAAAAAAAAAAAAAAAAAAAAAAATATTTTTTAAAATTCATTCATTCCTCAGACCTGTAACTCTTCTCAGAGCTGCTATTTGTCTTCATCCACTTCTCTACACTTATTGTAGGTTCTGTATGTAAAATAATACTTATGTTTATTGTTCACTGAAGAGCTTTTTTTCCTAACTACTCCTAATGCAAGCCTGATGAACAGAAAAGAAAAAAACCCACTGAAAAATTAATGGGAATGTCATGTGATGCACATCTTGAAAAGAATTCATTTAGATATTTTAAGTACTAAATTTGCCTTTTTAGACAAACCTTTCAGGTATTTAGTTAAGTTTCTTTCTGAAAGAAAAAAAACTCTGTACTTTATTCACAATGGCTTTTTAAGTTTCCTTGAAATTAATCATGACTTCTTTTCTTTCATTCCATTGTTTCTGTATGTGCACCTCGCCTTTTTCCCCAAATCCAATTGATTGCAACTGTGTTAATTTGCTTCTCTTTTAAGTACCCAAAATACTAAATGGCTCACCTTACTACAACTGTGTGTGGTTGTCTGGCTAGGCGATCGACTTCCTCGATGGAAATCTGATCAATCTTGTTGTAGACCTGAGAGACCAAAGTGGGGGAATTTTTTTTTAAATGACAAAAAACTTTACTTTGAAGGGTAACAATTGCAGAAACACATTTTAATTAATCTAATCTACTCTATTATTTATAGCACAGTGAGATATGAGATCTAATTAACGAAAGCCAAATAAGCGAAAGGAGGCACAAAACAGGACTCTCATACACTGAGCTGATTTACCTCAACTTTATCTGACAATTAAGCATAATATTGAGTACACTGAAACCAAGCCAGAATTTTTTTCATCAACTTGAGTACACTGTCACCATTCTTCCACCTATTTAAAAAAAACACCCCAAACAAAAAAAACAAAAACAGAGTGTATACATAATTTAAATAATATTCAGAAAATATAAAATAGAAAGAAAAAAGAAAAAAAGGCAAAGCATTTTAAAAAGAACAAAGCGACCCAACTTCCACTCACATAAAGGCAGGGCATGTAGACTCTGGTACCCAGAATGACATCAACAAACTCGTCCGACGTGCAGTCTTCTCGGAATAAAACCTCAGCGTTGAAAATTTCTACACACAAGTTAAGGAGACCAACAAATCGCACGCAGTTCTTAAAAGTACTTTAAAAAAAGCAAAGCAGAAAGCAATAACAATGTCTTGTACCTGCAGTCTCCCTGGAACAGTAAACAATTAAAATTCTATAAGAACTCACAGCAATCTCACTTTGCTCTCTGAAAAGACAAATCAGTACAAATTTGCTTCTACGCTTATAGCAAAAATGCCACCTCTCATAAAACTCACATCCTTTGTATGCAACTGCTAAGGCTTAACCATGACACCACACATACTGGTTCACAATCATGCCAGCCAACATTCTCAATCAACTCTTGACAGAGATGCTAACTTGACACACACACAAACATCCTGTCCTCAAGACCTCTGATAAATAAATATCACAAAACAATTGTCTTCAACTAATCTCAAAGGATACTGTACTCGTGGAGAATCAGCTGAATCATCTTCTCACTGGTCTTTGTCAAAGGCACCATCGAGTTGAAGGAGATACCCCCACCTTTCTTTTGCTGAAAGAACAAACACAGTAAAAGAATTGAATTTAACAGTTTTTTTGTTTTAATAAGCGTTTTACGGTACTTGCAACAAAATTAGGTCATATAAGTGCCGAAGATAAGAGGTGTTACGAGAGAGTAACAGCAAAAAAATAAAGAGGAGAGATAAAGACGATAATTGTTTGATAGGAAAGAAGGAGCAAACCACACCAGAGCACCTGCCAACTACCCATGAATTAAACAGATGCTGACATAACTTACACAGACAGATCAATATTACTAAACTTAACAATTTTATTAAAGACAGTACAATAAGTCCAGCTATTTATCTTGTTCTTTCATAATACTTCGCCGCCGTCCGACAAAGTAACCTTTCATGTTGCTTCAAAATAATCATGAATAGTCACAGCAAATGGATTATCATTTAGGAGGGTTTATCTTTAAGCAAAATTTGTAATTTTCAGTTCACGTTAGAAGGCATCATTAATTCAACTTGCTTGTATTTCCTTACTTTTTAAAATAGTGTGAACAGCTTGTGCACAAGAAACCAGTTACACAAATATTGAAGTGGAAACAAAACAAGAGAGTACAAGGTGGTGACATCAGCAGAAGTTTTTCTTACAATTTTCACATCACAATTACCTTGAAATAAATGTTGGGTCTCTGCGTGTTCAGCCTAATTCCGACCTGCTCCAACTCCTTCTCTAGAAGTTGTCTGAAAAGAGAAAAACAATACATAAAAAAAAAAAAAAGAAAAAGAAAAAAAAATCAAGACGTGATATTAACATTACAACTACTATTATCCTTTTCAAGCCAGAAATTTGTTTTTCTAATTCTGAAACAAAAGCAAGGACGCTTGCTCAAAACCAAATCACACACATCACCCCCCCCCCCCCCCACACACATACACACTTAAACACACATACACACTTAACCAAACACACACACACTTAAACTGAACACATAAATCAACAAATTCCCAACTCCTTTGCACGAAAGGGTCACAATTATTTGCAACATAAAATGAAACATGTCTTAAAAAAAACAACCTTTAATCAAATACAACTCTAAACTTTATACACTTACACCTGCTCTAATAGCCACCTGTTTAAACAATCGCTTTTCTCCTAAAAATAGTTGGCATACTTGGACAAGTTTGACGGTGCTCTGTCACAAGAAATCAAAGCTTGCACAACAAAACCAGAGTTCTGTTCACCATTCACACAGTATACACAACTCACTAGCCATGCAATTGTGTTCATTATTTGAGAAAGAAAGACAATTCCCTACCTCTGAATTTCTCCCTTCGTGGCATCCAGCATGATCACAATCAGATCGGCCGTTCTGGCCACAGCTATCACTTGGCGACCTCGACCTTTACCTGTAGTTTTTTAAAAAAGTGAGCAAAATTAAGTTTAAAAAAACCCCAACCAAACAAGCGAAAGACCAGACATGTTCTTTAACCTGCTGCATAAATGGATCAGAAGAAAGACACGGAAATGTGAGACGTAAAAAATCTCTATAGCCACTCTCCCAAACAAGTGCGAATTCATACGCATATAATTTTGACAGTTTATATGATAAAAGGAAGTGAAACACCACAAAACACCAGTTCATTTATAAAATCTAGTGAGTAACTTTATCTTTGATTCTGTGTTAAGTATTATTGATAAGCTTGAATTCAAACTTTCCATCCTGTTTGAGAAAGTGGGGAAAATTCGACATGCTTACCCTGAGCGGCTCCTTCAATGATTCCGGGCAAATCTAGCAGCTGTATATTAGCACCGTTATACTGAAAAACAAAAACAAATATTACATCACACTTGAATTCTTTGAAAACAAAACCCTATAAAACCAAGCAACAAAATTATATTATCACAATCTCTGTTGTCTACTTCATAAGAGACATTCTTCTTCATTCTGCGTACTTAGCAACTAATAACATATTTGAAACAGAGGCAACTACCAATGTTTCTCTGATTACAAAAATCTCAGATTTAATCAGCACCAAAAAGTCATACATCTTAAACATTTTCTGTTCCTACAGGCCTATCCTTCATAAGCTTTTAACGTTATTTTTCATTACAGTTGTTCTGTTCCTATGTCTGGATGAAAATCGTCTGTGTGTGCGCGTGCGTGCGTGCGTGTGTGTGTGCATTAATATATATATCGCATGAAAAGAAAGGAAGTAGTAAGAAAGATTTTGAAAAAATGGGTGTTCCAATGTAAAGCGTATAGAGCTACTTTTTTGGAAATGGGCTATATAAATGTTATATATTATTATTATTAGATTATACATATTAGAAAAAACACAAAATAGTAATGCATTTTAATCATTTAATTCCACATATATGCAGTTCCTGGGTAACTAAAAGAGAACAACCTTTTTCAGTGACATGTCTATTTCAATAAATAAAAGCAGAGGTACAGTGTAGCAAGCGCATAATGAAATTAACAGGATGCAGAAATCTTTTCACTACGTTCAAATTTCGCTATGTACATGTTTTACATACAAAGAATATGCACATCTGTGAGAAAAACTTTATGTCATGTTCGTTATGAGCACATGCTAGACAGTACAACCATCTCCTCACCTCTACGACGCCAGGTATACAAGTCAGTGTTGTGAACTCGTAGGAAGCAGACTCGCTGTGCGTTGACGTCAAGGTGTTCAGGAGAGTTGACTGAAACAGGACATTGTTTTAGTAGAGGTTTTACGGCGCTCGCAACTGCATAAGGTCATATGAGCGCAAGAAGATTAGAGGTGTTACAAGAGAGTAACAAACATAAAAAAGAAGAAGGGGAGATAAGGACGATAGATGTTTGATAGGAAAGAAGAAGAAAACCACACCAGAGCACCCGCCAACCATCCACAAACAGGACATGGAATTGTGATAGTAAGCCAACAGAACTACAAAGTAGAAAGAAAGTTTCCAGACATATCATTAGGTGTGCAGAACATTTCATTCCATGGCACATCCCAGTCAGCACAAAATGATTAAAAGTAAAGACAGCCTTTAATTTATCATGAAAAATTTCCATTCTGTCAACCAGCTTTTTAATCACATACATTTTCCTAAGAATAAAAAGAGGTTTCAGACGAGACTGTTACTTCCATCAATGCAAGCCAAACAAGCCAGGAAAACATTCTTGAAAAAGATACATATTAAATTCAGCTTAATCAGCTGCTTGCACTGTATGCTTCTTCGCGGGAAGCTGAGAATGTTTCGGACTGTTCTATGGTCTGCTGGGGTAATAATATAGTGTAAAGTGCATAGAGCCTGCTGCTGAGCGGGGATATGCGCTATACAAACGCTATCTATTATTATTATTATTATTCTATCATGTACTGCTCATAAACAGTACAAGACAATCACATCAAACAAAAACCAACCTTTCCTACAGATGGGAATCCAATAAGTGCAACCCGAGCATCTCCAGATTTCATGACATCAAATCCTTCACCCTGTAAATTAAATGTACATTGATAAAGTTAAGGACTAACAAAGTCGCAATTTTGATCATTTCGAACCCCCCCCCCCCCCAAAAAAAAAAAAATTAAAAAAAATAAAATAAAAACAGTAAACCCCCCCCCCCCCCCCCCACAAAAAACCCACCAACAACAAAATAACTTCCTGCTACTTATGATGAGATATATATATCATATACATGTAAAGAATTTTTACTTAAATTCGATTACTTACTTTATAAACGAGAAAAATTATTTCATTGTGTCTGACAGTGAGTGACAAAACAAGTTCCAAGAAACAAGAAAATTACTTCTCAGACTGAACAGTCTCTCAAGCATTTATAATACAACGTAAATAGAATTTGACTGAATTTATAGTTAGACAAACAAAAATATATTTTTCATAATTGATGGTAAAGTATAATTTCTGGAATACCACCATCCAATCTTCTGAATGAATGTGGAGCAAGTAAGATCCTTTCTACAGACGAAATTTTATGCTTTTGACATCAACACTTTTCAAAACTGTAAGCCAGTGTCATAAAATATTACTTAATAAATATTATTTTGTGCTGTCACTAATGCTTGTTCTACATCCGACAAATCATTAGGGACAAATTAGACAAGTCAGAAAGTTCCAATATGGATATATAAGTAAATGTACCTTTTGCGCTGTTTTGCCAGAAGGCTCCAAAAGCTGTTGCCTCAACTTTGCAATTTTGGCTTTCAAAAGACCCAGATGGTACTCAGTTGCTGAAAAGTTCAGGAAATCAATCATTGTGAATTTATCAAAATGAGATTAACCTCATATGCAATCTCAGTGTAACTGACTAACAGTGTCTCAACCTGCTGACAAGCCTTGTCATTCCAAAACTTTCACTTAAACTTAAATATTTGACAATTCAGTATCAGGACGTTAGCCTCTATTTCTTTCTCTATTGTTTTGGGAGACATTCATCATAAAAGGAAGGGTGGGGCCAGGGGTAAGAGCCAAAGTAAAAGAAAGCATTGTTGTTTGAGTAAAGAGGTACATCGACAAACAGTAGGCCTATCTAGTAATTCATTGCAAAGAAAAAGCAAGAAACACAGATAAAAGAAGCAAATGACGGAAAGAAAAAAGTAGGCACCCTCTGCTTCTCACCACCAGTATGTTGGTCTCAAAAAGCATTTCTTTCTAATGTATTGTAATAAAGAATAGAAATCTAGATGACCTAGAGATTATACCTACTTCTTACATCATCAAGACTTTTCTTTGTGTGTGATCTTAGTCTTAGTCTTTAATTTTTTGACACGCCTTGACCCATATGTTGACATCTAACTCCCATTATAATCTCAACCTTACACTTAGAATAGAGAGTAAGCCACATGTCCTACTACACATTCCACATAGGACATGTGGCTTACTAGGCCTATTTGAATTGGCAGCTACTCGCAGACAACTGTCTAGCAGAAGAGAACGGCAAGTACATGATGTATACTCGTAAAACAAATGAAGAGAAAGTAGTGAGCGGAGGAAGACTGTTTACGTGAGCGAGTCGGAGTGAACTTTTGTGATATTGATCTAGACTTAAATCTATATCTAGTAGGCATATTGGTCCACATTAAAATAAATTGACATTTGATTTGTGAAATAACATGATATTTTCTTTGACTGAACTTGGTTTTGGAGTTTAAGTCCAAGTCAAAATGTCAAAACAATTCAACATTCAACACCCCCAGCAGAGAGTCCAGAGATAGGTTACCTTTGTTTTTCTGAGTCCTCGAAATCTCCCGTTCGATTTCTTGGATCTTTTCTAAAATACCCATGGTGAGTCTTTTTTGCGCCTAAGACAAATGGGTGAAAAATGAACAATCAGGGGAAAAAAGCTGGACTGGGCAAAGAGATCTGTACGAAAGTTCAGAGATCCCTTGCTTGCCACTCGCCGGATTGAAGTTTTATTTGGAATAGTCGTTATCTGCTACATGCGTGTGAAGTGCAAGTTCAGATAATTTTCGACAATGATAATATTTTATATACTTTATGTTAACACAAGGAAACATAACAGAGGATAAATAAATATTATAGAAGTGTATTGTGCACCAAACTCTTCGGACTTTAGTTTACGACACAAGGTTTGTTTACATTTTCCTATTTGCAGCACATCATGTAACAGCCCAACAACAGGAAGCGAACTTGGAAAAACGAAAGGACAAATCCTTCGCCTTACATGAGAGCAGCGGTATAATAGCTTGTGCAAGGACACCCTGGCAACGTTTGAAGGAAAATTAATTAAGGAAAAGACTGTATCAAATTTTTACTGAACGAATCTGACGGCTGGTAAGTGAACGTTTCCAATAGATAGAATCAATCTCAATCAAGATTCACATTCCTTAGCCTTAGCCTAAGTTTCAGCCGGCCAGTTCGCCCAGTTAGTTACACAAGACGTCGACAATTACAATGCATTTATTATTGTATATGATATGGCCAACTCTATTCCCGTGCAAGAATAGTGCAGTTGTAGGGTCTCACCCGCGGTGAGAGGGCAAATCTTCTGGATATTCTCACTCGGTGCGTTCACTACTTGGCTTAGTGGCTTAGTGCATCGGGTCAGGCCGATCACTCTACTGCTGGCTGGGTGAATACTGAAAGGCAGAAAGGGCGAACCTTTGGCCATTCTCACCCGGTGGTGTGTGTTCACCGTGATAACAGTGTAAACAAACGTTCCAGCACTCTTGTGTTGCAAGTTTGTTTGCGGGCAATGAGAGAGAGATGGGGGGAGGGAGGAGAGAGAGAGAAGGAGTAGCAAGAATTTCCGGGCAAAAATGGTGACCGGCGTAATTTGACTCGTTTCGAAAAGTGAAATAGCCGTAGCATCTTTGTAGATGTCCAAATTAGTTTACTTTTGTGCTATACTTAATATAATCAATTTTTTTCTTTTTTTTGTCAATTTGAACATCCACACCAATAGATAGATCTAGATCTAGTAGGCCTATTTAGAAATTAGGAAGAACAGGTCTTGTTTCTTCACTCTGGGTGAGAATAGCCAATGCTGACAAATCTCACTCAGGGTGAGCGGTCGATCGTGTTTTTATTCTCACCCGACCGCCACTTCCTTATAAATTGCATTTCCACTTTCTAACGTTTCATTCAGATTATGAAAATTCGGGTAAGATTTGACCCCCACATTTCCAGATAACCTCTGTATTGTGTGTAGTTTAAAAAATCTGTTCATTCTCTGTCTTCAATCATACCCTACCACATAGCATTCACACATATGACAAGTTTCAAGGAAGTTCCAGCCCCATTTATAATTATGCACACTAAAGGTAATTTGCGATGATATGACTTGATACCAGTGTCTTGCTGTGCAGGGCGAGCCTTGTGGGCTCATGTAACTTATCTACCCTTAACGATGATTGGCGTGTCTGCTTTCCATTGTGAGTTCTGGATGATTTGATATTGAGACAGTTGTGAGGAAAAATATTATCAGGCTTTTTGAGATGAACTGTTCAACACATCCATGTGATTGTTTGAGAAAACAGTACTGCCAATAAAAAGGAAATTTTACAATGGTTCTGTTGGGGGCTGGTATAAATTAATACTCAAGCTATCCGTGAATTTGAGTTTGTGTGCTCAAGTTATCTGTGCTAGACTGTACAGGGAAATTGTCCAAGACGTCAACCTGTGCTACGAGACCGCTATACTTTATCAACCAACAGCTCCAAAAATCTGTACAAGACGTGACGACCGTGCAAATCTTTCATTTTCCGATTAAAAACCCAAACCTCCCTTTCGCCCCTTTTTTCAGAAGGAAAACACATTTCGATGGGCCTTATGGCAGTCCCAAGCCTGTGACCACCTCCTATTATAAAAGACCTCAGAAGGGAATTTTTTTTGCTTTAAAAACAATTTGACTTGCCCCCCAAAAACACCTGTCTAAAAAGATCACTTATTTTTCTCCTCGACATTGGGTAGTTGTCAGTCTTGGACAAGTTCAATGTACTTAGTATTGAAATGTATTTACGAACCTTCCCATGTGTGTGAAGAAACAACACTTCTTGTTGTTGATTTGATCATACACAGATGCTTTTCTTCTTCTATTTCTCAGGTGGTGCCAACATGGCTTGGGCAATGACAGGAACAAATCTTTTCTCGAGAGTGATCATCTCTCAGTCTCCCCGGCTGTTTTGTCACAGAGCGCAGCAGTACAGCACACTCAGAGGCTCACTCACACAGTTGAGATCCAGTGCTTCACCAAAGTCCTTATCTGGTTTGTTTAGGAAAATCACAACCCCAGGAGTCTTTCAAACTGTTTTCCTTAGTGACAGCCCAAAATTAGCTCAAAGCGTCCTCAAGAATTTCTCTCTCACATTGAACGAGACATCAATAAATCAAAGCAAGCATGCATATTTTGCTTCAGTAAGGACATTTTCAGTGTCTCCAAGATGCTTTTCTTCCTCCGGTTCTCAAAATCACGGCCAATCGAACAAGACAGGAATGATCTACATTACTGCAACTTTTATATTCATGATTGGGGCTGCTTATGCTGGAGTTCCTCTTTACAAAGTATTTTGTCAGGTATGTAAATAATTCTTTATTGTTTATAATCCCCCCCCCCCCCACCTTTCACCCACACACAAACACACGCACATTCACATACACATATTAATACTATTTATTGAAGTGTCCTTTTTGTGCACAAATATTTTGCATTGTCCTTGCAACTCTCTTCCTTTCGACTTTATTTCTATTGAAAGCACCTTGAGCCGAGCTGGTTTCAGTTGGGCATGTAGGCACCATTATGGTTATAGAATCCTCAGTAACTCAGAAAGTAAGATGGAATGACAGTCCTCGGAAAAAGAAATCTTTTCTATAAGAGACAGCTGTTTTAACTCCTTTATAACGATCACCGGTCACTGTCACTCATTACATTCTGTTCCATTTTAAAAATTAATGTCTTTCAAGATTTCTGAGAGTCCAGAGAGTTACTTTACTGTTGAGTCAATTTTTGTAAACCTTGCATCTTTCTCCACTTAGACGTACCTTAATTCATTTATAGATATAGATTAAATGAGTGCTGCAGAGCATAAATATTGTTGTCTCTGCTGTTTATCTGCTTAATTTAACTTTAAATTTTAATTCTTGGATGGTTTGCGGGCACTCTAGTATGGTTTTCTCCTTCTGTCCTATCAAGCGTTTCTCATACTTATCTCTCCTCCTTCTTTACATTGTATGTTACCGTTTAGTAACTCCTCTATTATTTAGAACTTATGTGATCTGTTTGTATTGTAAGTGCTGTTAGACTTTTACTAAAATGAAAACCTGAACATTTTAATAATGAAGTAAAAATTATCTAACAGGCAACGGGTCTCGGAGGTCAGGCTGTCAAAGGTCACGACACTTCGAAAGTGGAGACCATGGAGAAAGTGGACCGTCAGATCAGGGTGAAGTTCAACGCCGATGTTGCGTCCAGTATGAGATGGAACTTTAGACCACAGCAGACAGAGGTCATGGTATGTTATACAAGTCTTCCTCACAGGCTGCCAAAACTGTAGTTTATGCTAAGTGTCTTAAGCTCTGGAAACAGCCAAATGAATAAAGTGGATGATTATTTTCAGATGCAAAATACTTTTGTTAAAAATCAGAAGAATAGGGTCCTAGGATATTAAAAAAAATATTTTCCTATGTAGGCTTTTTCTGTTGGTATATTTTTGTGAAGTAAGATAAGTTCTTTTTGTGATCTTTATTTTTGCGTTTATATTGTTTGTTTTTTAAAAGAATGGTCAACTTTTGCATTTCAGAGTTGATTGTAACAGTAGGTTGAACACATACCTCGGAACAAATTATATCCTTTTTAAGTTGAAAAACTTTTATGCGCAGTGTTCGTTCTCTTGAAATTGTTATTTTCTTGTGCTTAGAGACCAGGTAACTGGTGTTTGTGTACTGGTAAAATGCTTTGTTATCTCATGCAGAAGACCTGAATTTGATTTTCTAGTGGAGAGAGATTTAAAAGAGAGTATTCTGGTCTTTCTGCTGGGACATTCCATCCCTCTCAGCCTAGGTCAACCTTGACAGGGAAGGCCGAAGCCTGCCTGCTAAATGATCTAAATTGTATCGATACCTTAAAACGCAAAAATTTTTAATAGAAATTAGACCAGGTAGCCATGTTGCGACCTCAGCGCTTTCTTGTCATATCTCCATTTTTTTCAACAGTGAAAATGTGACTTCTTCTTAAGCTCACTCTTTGTTACAAACTGTTTTCACTGTCATTAAAGATACGACAAGAAAGCACTGAGGTCGCGATGTGCTGAGTCCCCCCTTTCTGTTGTGTCACTAATTACCCCCCTTACCCCTGTACGCGACAGGTTGCCCCCGGTGAGACTGCCCTAGCCTTCTACACGGCCAAGAACCCCACAGATAAACCCATCATTGGAATATCCACCTACAACGTTCTGCCGTTTGATGCTGGCCAGTATTTCAACAAGATCCAGGTGGGGCGAATTTGGTCCTTGAAATTTTCTGTCACTGCAAATCATTAATGAGTATTTTGGTTTGTATTTCTTGCATTGGTATGTTATGTTGCTGATGCTGACATTTAATAAAATGCTTTTTTTTTTCAATTTGCAAAATATAATTCCAAATGGAAATTAATATTATAAATGTTTTTTTTACTTGTTTAATAAAAATGTATACCAAGTTCCATAACAACATAAATATTAAATAGGGGCATAGGGGCATATTGATGCGGCCTCAGTGCTTTCTTGTTGTATCTCCATTTTTAATAACAGTGAAAACAGTTCAAAAGAAAGAGTGAGCTTAAGAAGAAGTCACATTTTCACTGTTAAAAAAATGGAGATACGCCAAGAAAACACTGGGGTCTACCAATGTGAAGCTTTGCACTTTGGATGCTCAGAAAAATGGAAAACTATTTGTGAGGTGTGCTGACAAAATTGGTTACTTCTCGCAATCCACAAATGGAGATATTGGCCAAATATCGACACTAGGGTCAAATTTGTAGATTTTCTATTAATGCCATATTCTTTAAGTATAACATTCCTTTTATTATTTCATATTTAAAAATTATAAAAACTTCACCTATGAGTGTGATATATCTACTTGAATAGGGCTCGAATCCGAGAAGTAACTCATTTTGTCAGCACGCTTCACATTTCACATCATTGTAGGCTCAGTTGATACTACTTTCATGTTTTTGTCTTGTTCTTCATTCAGAAGGAAGTTCTGTTTAATTTTCCTTCTCTTTTTCTCCCTTTGAATAATCATTTTCCTCAAAGAGAGATAGCTTTTGTGTTTCTTTTGTATTTTCATGCTATGCTGAGTCGTATTGTTCCTTTTTTTCCCCTTGTCCTAGTTTTGTCCCATGTCCTGATTTTGGTGCCGACATTCGTAGGTTACGTAAAAATGTATTGACATAGTGCAAATTGTTATGTTTCAAGAAAAAAGAAACAAGAAAAACACATCAAGAAAAAGGGAAATTGTTTAGTTGGTGATGATGATGATGATGAGGATGATGATGATTATTGTTGCTTAAAACTGAAGGCTCAACCTTTGTTTTGGGTGGGGAAATCTTGGTAATTGTGAAACTTCAAACTCACATAACGTCAACTAACGGAAGAAATTATTTTGGTTTTCTTGGATTGCGTATACAGGTATTTATCTTCTTACCTCCCCTTGCTCATTCTCCATTTGCTTTTTTGTTTTGTGGTGTTTTGCGTTGTCGATATTTTTTTTTTGGTTTTGGTCAACCATGCAAGAAATGGAGTTTGGCTTGTGGGAAAAAAAAAAACAGGATTAAGAATAAAGCTATTGCTATATAGTGCATCTGGGCTGTTTGATGTGTGGTCTGCTCCTTCTATAACTTGTCAGTGTGGCTGTGTTAGTAATCTGTTCCTGGCTATATACAACTGTCATTGCGCTGTGTGTGTGTGTGTGTGTGTGTGTGTGTGTGTGTGTGTGTGTGTGTGTGTGTGTGTGTGTGATGAAACAACATACAGTTTTATAGTGCTAGAGTTGCTTCTTCTTCTACATATGTTTTGAATTTCCAGGTTGTGACAGTAAGTTAAAGTAGTTACCTTTTTTGACAATTTTCTTTTCCTCAGTGTTTTTGCTTTGAGGAGCAGAGGCTGAATCCAAATGAGCAGGTAAGGCTTTCATTCATTTTACATCTAGTATTCTCTTTTTATATTATTGCGAAGCCTTCGCGCACACAATTAGACTCACGAAAAGACAAACATCCACACATGAAAATACTCACGCAGATTCTCAAATGTATTAATAGTTAGTTTGGGCTCTAACTAGATATTGAATATTCAGAATGTATTAAAAAGCAAAATCTAAGCACACACAAAAAAAGAAGCCGATCTAAATAAACTTTTATCTGTTTTTTGGCAAGTGTATGGCATATGTTTGGGTTCTTATCTAAGTGTTTGTGGGTTTGATGTGGTGAGTGTTTATGTTTGTTGTGTCTATATCCGAGGGTTTGTGAGTGTGATGTGGCATATTTTTGTGTATGCAAACACCAATGCAGGTTTTGAGATCTGTATATTATGTTGATGTGTTCCAAATGAAACTATTTTTTCAAGCAAGAACTTGGTAGTGATTTGATACTGAATCTTTTTTGTTTGTATGTGCTCTGCTGGTGTGGTTTGCTCCTTCTTTCCTATTAATCGTCTATCATCATTATCTCTCTTTCTTTTCCTTGTTTGTTACTCTCTAGTAAAACCTCTAATACTCAGCACTTAAGTATATGACTTACTCGTGTTGCAAGAGTTGTAAAACTCCTACTAAAACCAAAGTAAACTTTTTTTGTTTGTGTTTATAAAACCTTGTCATATTTTGGTCTGTGTATTTTTTAACACTCCTGAAAGCAGAATCTGGATTTGATAAACTTTTATTAAACGTTGGAAATGCCTGTAACACTGAATCTAGAATGTGATGCGAAAAGAGAGAGAGAGAGAGAGACAGAGAGACAGAGAGAGAGACAGAGAGAGAGACAGAGAGAGAGAGACAGAGAAAGGAGGGGGGAGGAAAGAGAGGAATAAAGGGTTCCAGAGACAGAGAGAGAGGGGGAGGTGGATGCAAGAGAGAAAGGGAGGGAGGGAGGATAAGAGAGAGAGAGAGAGAGAGCGAAACAGAGACTGACAGACAGACAGACAGACAGACAGACAGAGACAGAGAGAAAGACAAACAGATGGACAGATAAAGAGAGTGAGGGAGTGTTACAAATAGACCGACAGACAAGACAAGCTATGCGTGGTTTTTCCCTGCTCAGCTATTCTGGAATTGGAAAATGTAAATGAATGCAAAGTCTGTCTGCAAGGGACAGAGATA